GAAGCTTTCATCAGGGTTTTGCTGGAAATTGACGAATTTGCCCTGGCGATGGTTGAAAACATCCTGACAGATGCTTGTGTGGGATGTCTGGGGTTGCTGCAGACTGCATTGAAAGGCCGTACCCAGCCATGGGTGAGATGGACTTCTGCACATGTGGTACTGAGGTTGCCGGCAGTTCGGCTCTCGGCTGAAATCACAGCAGATGTCCTGAAGCTGCCGTGGATTTTTTGGAACGTGACCGATGTGTCCTTAATGACAGAAATTGACATTGCCTCCAGCAGTCGCTGCCATATCACTGAGCAAGTTGGCAGCAGCATGATGAGATCTCTCACGTCGAGTGGACAGAACCTTAAGGAGCTCCTAATCCGACCGCTGCCCCTGATTTATCCAGGCGCTGCCGTTTTTGCAGCATTAGGGCCCATGCCCAAGCTGGAGAAGCTGAAATGGCAAGATGACACCATCTCCGCTGAAATGGCAGCCGCGCTCATCGTCAATCTATCGGGACGCTTCCCATCCTTGCAAGAGCTGGATGTACGGTACCAGATCGACGCCAAGGACACCCTGGCGGAAGTCATAGCAAGCGGTCTCAACACGACATCACTGAGGCTTCTGCACCTTGGATGCAAGGGACCAGCTTCTGCCATGGCAGGGGCAGCAGCCCAGATAGCGCCACAGCTGGAGGAGCTGAAGCTCTATGGGTTGATGGCTTGGGAGAGGTCTGATGGCTTGGGAGACTTCATCAAAGCTTCTGGGTTGGTGTTAAGGAAACGAAATTAAGTCACCATAATGGGTAGAAATAGTAGATAATAGGGTTCCCCCAAAAGAGTAATTAAATGAAGTTCCTTAACAGCAGCCCAGGCTTTTCCGTACCAAGGCAGCTGCAGGCTGAAGAAGCTGAATGTGTTTACCCTTGGAAGAGCCAGGCTTGATGATGCATTGACTCTTGCGAAGGCACTCGAGAGATGCCATGGACTTCAGCAGGTTGTTATAAATCTTCCAGGAAAAGAAGTCACAAGCAAGAGCAGGCAAGCTATCAAGAACATTATGACAGCTTCTTGGCCAAATCTCACTAGCTTCGAGCCCTTCATTGTATCTTCTGCCATGCAACGGTTCCTTTCCTGGAACAAGCACCATCGGCATGCAGTGGATCCAACGGGTCCGCAGAAGAAACTGGGTTGCTGCTAAGGAACTTAAATTCAGTTACCATCATGGGTATATATAGTAGGTTTCCCCCCTAAACCCTAAACCCTAAATAGTAAATAATAGGGTTTCCCCAATATAGTAACTTAATTTAAGTTCCTTGACATCAACCCAGGAAACGGGTGCTGTCGGGAAGGAAGATCCGGGTGCGGAAGCCGCGAAGAAGTGCGGAAGTCCTGTGAGACGGTTTAGGGTTTAGGGTTCTTGCTTCGAGGATCCAAGAGTCCAAGAGCCCGGGAGCTTCTTCGGCAAGTGGGGGTGCTCTAAGTTATGGCTCCTTTTGGGTTCCCCAGTTTAGCATATTCCTTATTGTGTAGGGTATCCACAATGGCTCTATAATTTCTGACAACCCCCCAAATGCTGAGACTTGAACTGAAACTGATGCACACAAGCTCCTCCTTACCTCTGGACCTCTAGTTGGCAGGGTATGAGAAGCAACGAAAAAGTGAGTGGAATCTACAACATCATTGGGGACTGTTTTGAGGGAAAATGGATGAACAAGGGATTATTGGGGATTATGTGTAGGAATCACGACAGGATCCATTACTTCATTCCTTGCTAGCCAGAGGTAAGCCTGTCTTCGCGAGCGGAGTAAAATGTCGGACTTGCAAAGCAAGCTGCGCTGCCCGGTAACAACTGGGAGTTTCCCAACATTCGGGGGTTCAGGGTTTAGGGTTTAATTAGGGTTTAGGGTTTAGTGTACCCTTACAGGGGGACATAATCAGGGGTTGTATTGGGATATATACTTTAGAACATAGGGTTTCCCAAAATCAATTAGGGGTACCCATTTAGGAGGTCGCTATGATGTTATAGTATTTTGGGGTTTATATTGGGGTCCCCCAATTTTGGGAAACAACCTGCCTGCCTGTACTGTACATCACAGAGCTATCGTTCTTGTGCTACTTCTGGGTCCGACAACCTAATACCCACCAAAATCAGAGTTCCAAGTAATATCGGGAATCTATAGGGATATGCAGGAAGAATGCAAAAGAACATGGAAGCTGCAACACCTTTCCGGTGTTTATTTCGAGCGTTGAATCCTAACTTGGGGTTCGAATTTGCTTAAGGTCAAAAGTGAAAAGCAAGATCCCCCCCAACCCTTTGCCCTAAGTACCTAAGTAATTGTAATTCATCCTGGATCCGAGATCCCTACTGAAAGGGCTTCAATACCTACCAACATCAGTGTCCTGTATTTTTCTTCATTATAGTGTAGGGTACCTCAAATAGCCCCCAAATGATATTGGCAATTAGTTAGGTCCTTACCATGATCTCTAAATTTTCAACCGTTATTGTACAAGACCAGTTTCCATTTCATTTTCCATCTTTTATTTTCCATGTGAATTTCCATGGTTGGGGGAAGATACCACTAAACCCTATAAGCCCTAATCCGCAAACCCAAAACCCTAAGGCCCGAAGCCTAAACCGATCGTTGCTAAAACTCCTAAACCCTAAACCCTTGCTAAAACTCCTAGGCGGCTCCTACCTGGATGGCATGGATTTTGCAGCATGCTGTCCCGCCCTTAGCAAGCAAGCTTTGTAAGGGTTCAGACAGGTAGGGGAGAGTTTAGGGGTCCAGGGTTTAGGGTGCAGATGTCTAGGGTTTGGGATTTAGGATTTAGGAGTTCAAGGTTTACCTTGAGGCCGGGTCTCATATGGTGACAATCAGGACATGAGCAACCCCAAATAAGGAAGAGCTGTTGAAGCATAGCAAGAGCGATGAATGAAGGGGATTTGGAGGCCCCCGATGATGTTGCCAAACAGATGAGGGACCCGAAGCTTGATGATTCCTTCATGATGGCTTCGCACCTACATGTAGGCGCCAGTGCTCACCAGGTGAGTGTAGTAGCATTCTCATGAGAGGACTTCGGAGGTCTTTGCCGAAGTGGAGGATTTTGGCTATTTATTTTGATGTTCCGTTCCTGTATTGAACGCTGATGGATTTAAATCTTTCCTAAAAGGTTTGGACAGTGGATTATGGGCTTCTCGCAGTCCATCCTTCTGCCTTGCATGGTTGCTTTGTCCACCGACACAGTTGCAGCCGATTGCCTTTAAGCCCTAAATGCCAGACCCACTTGCCTGCAAGCGCTGTGAAGCCGAGTAACCACGGCCGAGCAGCCAGGTACCGATAAACCACAGCAATGGAAAAATCACATGGAAACGACCATGGAAAAATGAACTGGACGCTGGGTAAGTGGGCTTTATGGGGAGGTACCTCTTTGGGGTTTATAGCAAGGATTATAGTTTTTTGGGGTCTATATTGGGGCCCCCTATGTATGGAAACCGCCAATAATACCCAAAGCCTTGAAATTATGGTGCTGTAGCTTACTTCGGGTCATGCAGGTTTTTGCCCATCAGCAATAATTAATTACTTCTCACGCTGCTGAAAGGGTTCCCGGGATGGTCGTAGGTGCGGTTATAACCCCCTAACCTGGTTACCCTAAACCCTCAACCCGAAACCTTCAACCCTAAACCCTAAACCTTCAACCCTACATTCCCACAAAGGCCTGCTTAGGCCGTACCCCCCCCCCTTTTCTAGGGTGCCTGGACCCAATTACACCTGGCAGCCACTCACACCATTATTTGGAACTATTATGCTAAAGAGTTTGTAGAGCGTGAGCTGCACCTCCTGGTGCTGGGACCCCTTCTCCTTTTCCCTAAGCCTGGCGACCTTGTGCTTTTGGGCTTCTGCCGGGTGCTCTGGGGGCCCCTCTGCCAGGCCTTCTGCCACCCAAGAAATCCGATCAAAAAAATGGCTTTCGACCCTTCAGCCAGAGGCCCCCATCGGTCCCCATAGGCCCCGAGAGGCCTTCAGAGGGCCCGGCCCCCAAACAGAGCAGACGAATGAGAAATCCTCACCCTGGCCCCGGCAACCCTCTACACCCTGCGAGCCCGCCTAGGCCCCCGAGAGCCCAGCCCCGCCTGCGGCCCGTTGTTTAGACCAAAAAGAAGAGTGCGAATGTAGGGCATCAGCTCGAAACCCGAAAAGGAATAAAGTTGGGCGGATGCCTGTGCAAGCAGGGGGTGGGAAGAATAAACCAACACACCAACTCCCGGCTTGTTGGGCACGAGAGGTGTGCCGTCGCATGATGTGCCGCCCCCCCACACCCCTGGGTGTGCGGGGCGCCATTTCTACGTAACATATTACCTCCGGCCGCCGCAGTGTTGTAAGAGTTATTGAGGGGGATACTAGGAGTTTAGACTGCTTATATGGGGCTTTCCCAAAATTAGAGGTACTTTTTTCTCAAAGGGGATAGAGGTTATGCAGGGGGCTCATATAGGGGTATATAAGGTTTAGAGTCTCCGAACATTAAAGGTACCATTTTGGGGGTCCCAATAATAAGGATACTGGAATTTTGGGGTCCATTTTAGGGTCCCCCTATTTTGGGAAACTGTCTTTTTTTAAGGGGGGTTCCAAAGATTAAACGTCCCCGGTTCTTTTGGGAGTCTCTATCACAGTAAGAAATAAATATTGGGGGTAGATCTTGCCAGATTGTCACGGAAGCTTGACTAGCTACCAACATTATTCTCTCATAATCCTTGCGCGAGCATCGTATGATACACCCCGGGTCCCCATTCTAATCAAAAGGCTCCTACAGCATATGGATAAATTCGCTCATGCTGGCAACTCGGGCCGCTTGAACTTAGGGAGTAGGTACATGAGGCACCAGGTGCATATTCAATACATCTCCGGCCCTGCATGATCCGCGCTACATATTCCCAATTTCTAGTCCACATACAATAAGCCTGCATCCCACATGTTCCGTGTAGAATCTCCTCAGATAGCTGCCAACATTCCAAAGGCCCTCAATTCAGCTTGGTCGATGACAGCAGCCACAGCCCACGTGGGGATGGCGTTCCCATCTTCCGTTCGGAGCCGAGTGTTGACCAAACCAGTGAGAGCTCATGACTTGAAAGCCTGAAAAAGAGCAAAGAAGCCGTCTCTCCCTTGTTTCGCTTTGCAGGATTGCTGTTAAGGAAATTAAATCATATTGCTATAGTAAGGAAACCCGATTATCTACGATATACCCATATTTAACAGCAACCCAGTTTAGACCCTTCTAAAGGTTCCCAGCGCGCAAACCCAAACCTGTGACCTACTGGTGCTTACGGGGGAGTGGGGGTGTGAGTAAAGGCACCATTATAAGGGTATATATGGGGATAATATTATAAGGACTGCTGCGAATATAGGATGTAGTACCGCTATAGGGGTATGTATGGGGATTATATAAGGTACTGTGAATATAGGATCTAGGTACCACAATAGGGGCATTTATGGGGATTATATAGAGATTATTGTGAATACAGGATCTAGGTACCACTTGAGGGCATGTATGGGGATTATATAGAGATTACTGTGAATATAGGATCTAGGTACCATTTTACGGGCATGTATGGGGATTATAGAGGGATTATTGTGAATATAGGATCTAGGTACCACTGTAGGGGTATGTATGGAGATGATTAGAGGGATTATTGTGAATATAGGATCTAGGTACCATTGTAGGGGTATGTATGGGGATTGTAGGGGGATTATTGTGAATATAGGATATAGGTACCACTATAGGGGTACGTATGGGGATTATATAGGGATCCCCTCCCTAAACCCTGATCCTTAAGTCCTATTTTAGGGATCCACCACCCTACTTTCCCTTAAGCACCGGTAAGTTGAGGCCACACCTTCACCGGGGCACTCCTCCTGGGGCATGCAGTCTTTTTGAGCCAGCCGGGAACTCCCCGCGAGGACCCAATTTAGGGTTTAGGATTTAGGGTTCAGGGTTTGCAGCTGCAAGCGTCGCGCCTCGACCCAGGGGGGTCGTGGGCGGCGCGCCGCGCGACAGCTGAATCCCACCCCAGGACCACCCGGTCGCAAGCGTCCAAGGGTTTTTGCTTAGGCCTCGGCAGGGAAGCGCGGGGAGCAGCCGAACACAGAGGC